ATTCACTAAGATGAAAATATTAAGAAAATATAAGAAACGATGATAGAAGCAAAAACAAAGAGAATTTAAATTAAACAGGTTAGATTATGTAACCAAAACACAATAAACATTATTTCTATATTTAATATTGCCAGCGTCTCTTGTGTTTGCGCATGTGCAGTCGCATCAACATGAATATAAAACTTTCTTTCACTTTGTCATACCACTTTCCCCTAAAATTGTTCTTGATATAAAAAAATATATATATATATATATATATATATATATATATATATATATATATATATATATATATATCGCATATATATATATATTATATATCGTGTGTAACAACGAAATTGTCCAATTTTAAGATTAAGCTTTGAATTTTTGTATCTTAGAAATGATTATAAATATCTTACAGGGATTCTCCGAGATTCTTATTACGCTGTATTTGAACAATAAGAATGTATTTAGCTCTAACTTGAAATGATGATTCTTCTTGCTGTTGTGAAGTTCTGATTCAGTTTTCCTCCCCTTTTGTTCCCTTTTTTAAAAATTTATTCACTTATAACTTCTCTTGATGGTTATTGAATGAACTTGAAGATGAAATCCGGAGTATGAATGTTCGTATCCTTACTAAAGTCTGAATGATCTTTTTTCCTCTCACCATTGCTCAGTTAGGAAGACGTAATGGGACTGACACAAACTCATTTTAACCTGTTCCCTTTCTAGCTGAATTACCCAAAAGATTTTTCACTGATTCTTATGACAAATGGTGACAAGATGACTAAACGTCGTAACTGAATACCTGATAAAAAGAAACTCCCTTAGTTTAGTGGCTTTTTAGATATTAAATTGGGTGGACAATTATCCCATGCTGTTACACGATTTGGACTATTTTGTTGTTACTCCCGATATATATATATATATATATATATATATATACCTATGTGTGTGTTTGTCTGCGTGTGTGTGTGAGCGCGCGCATCTGCGTTGTTGTTTTCTACACAGAAGTCTGATATGTTGTGATCATTTGATTATACGAAAGAATCAAATAAATTTCCACTAATTGGAATCAAAACAGCCTTATCGATCTGAACGAATTTTGATTCGATATTTGAACGAAGCAGTGAGATACTGATATTTTTTCTTCCTTTTTTTTGAAACCCCAGACATCTTGCTGGGCTTGTTCGAGTCGGATGATAGTTGGGCTATCTGTCTTTGCTCAAATCAAATATCTTCTTTTTTTTCTTCATATTTTTCAAATTTAAAATTGAACTGGGACCTTTCTCTCTTTCTTTTTCTTTTTAAATCATCGGCGAAGGTAGAAGAAATTTGGCATAGTGCATTCGACTGTGTTTCGATTCCCATCATTCTTAGCGTTTACAAAATGCCGTTTCTCCTACTGTTTCATCTCAGTTCTTTTCATCATCTCTGTATTTATATAACATTACTTATATATATATATATATATATATATATATATATATATATATATATATATATATATATAATTATTATTTATAAAAAAATTATAACATAAGTATGTTATAAAATCACTACAAAATACCCATTTTGTTTCAACACCCTCGGTGTCTTATCAAGTGATGTTGTTGAAGATAAAATAAATGGTTTTAAAAGTTTCAGATTAATTAATTTTAATTTTATAACATACTTATGTTATAATTTTTTAATTTTATAACATACTTATGTTATAATTTTTTTATAAATAATAATTATATCTGCTCTACTTTGTATTGAGCACTCTTTTAAGAATAGTAATTGTTGGTTATTGAATTCATTCCGTATATACCAATTATATATATATATATATATATATATATATATATATATATTTATATATATTTGTTTGAATAAAAGACAGACTACGTTAAGATTCCATGTAATAAGCTATTTCAACATAACCCCTTTAACGGGGTTCTGGATCATCAGACTTTACTTCCAAAAGCTGAAATGAAAAATGAAACGAAATTCACACGTTTTTTACGGACCTCATCAAGTATACGCAAAGTTAACGAAGTGAGGAAGTGAGGTGGGAGAGAGGATATGAGTGTGTCATATGTATCATTTTAGTTTCCTATTTTAACCCCAGTGTGTCGGCTGGATGTTGCTCAAATTTAACGCGTCTCGTCTCTAGATAAAGGTGGCTAAGGGGTGAACGATAAGAACTACATTAAAGGAAGACGTTACAACAACCCCAATAAATTACGACAGGTTTCATTCAAATTCTTAGACGCTGTTAATTCGCGTTACTTTAACGTGCATATTTGGGAGGTTAAGGTTTGATAAATATCTAAATTTTAAAACAATCTGCGAAGGAATTAATTTGAAATTCGGTAGAGTTTTGGGTATTTTCTATGAAACAGTCGATTGGAAAAATCCATAGACAGAACATTGAAAGAGCAATCCAATTTATATTTAGTAATTTTTTCCCCCTATATATATATATATATATATATATCACTCTGCAAAAAAATCTATCTTTCTCATTCTGTTAATGTCTATCTATCTATCTATCTCAGTCTCTATATTTATCTACCTACCTATCATTTCAGTCTCACCTTATCTATCTATCTATCTATCTATCTATCTATCTATCTATCTGTTGTGGTGTCCTCCCTCTAAAGTGTTGGACTATGTTGGACTCTTCCGCCTACTATAAAATTAGTAGGAGAGAAGGCCTTGTGGGGAAACAGTCGACCAGATTGTTCATCTGTCGAACTCTCTGCCTTGAGAGGAGATGAACCCGGACGAGGCTTTACCGAAGGACAAAGTTTCGTCCGCGGAGGTAGACAGGCCCTGAACCCGTTTATACGGATTCTAAGGGAATATTTTTGACCGAGCCTACTGGCTCGGAGAACTCAAGGTAAACTCGACATTGTGCCACATACATCCCTCGTGAGGCGAGGTGGGGCTGTTAAATATAACAATCAAATAGATTGTTCTACCGAGGTTGTGACTTTTCGCATCTACTCTCGAGCTATCTGCCTTTGGGCAGAGAGGAACCCGGACGAGGCTTTGCCGAAAGGCAAAGATTCGTCCGGGTAGGTAAACAGACCCTGGCCCGTTTATACGGAGTCAATGGGAATATTTTTGTCCGAGACTACGGGCTCGCAGAACCCACGGTAACCTCGACCTTGTGCCACATACATGTCTCGTGGGTGGGGGCTGTTAAATATTAACAGTGGAATAGATTGAACGCTGGGTCAACCGACACACACTCACTAGTCGTGTAATACTCTTCTGTTGTATTAACTGTTTAATATATGATATATCTGTAACACTTGTTTTGTTATTTCTTTAAACATTTACTAAGATGTTTTGACCAAGTAAATGGTTAAAGAAATATCAAAACAAAATCGCTATACAATTACAATTACATTCGGCACTGCAAATGTGTCTCCTCAGGAGATTTTAAACGACTGTCGAGTTAATTTACTTTTAAACTGCGGACTATCTTTACAAATAGTCTTGTGCGCTTTGCCGTGATTAACCAATCGAATGTGACCTACGCTAAATTCACCGGAAAAAAATAATATAGTTCATGACACGAAGTTGTCTGCATATAAATCCTAGACAATTTCCTTGGGGACAGATACAGATTGTTACATTATTTCGAAGATGTATCGTAACTTCACACTTAAACTTCCCAAGGAGCAAACACTGTGGAACACTCTTCCGGCTTCTTGCTTTGATTGAAAAACAAGAAGCCGGAAGAGAGTCCCACAATCAAGAAGAATTAGAGAAGAAACTATTAGCATGGAAATTACGTTTACATCTGGGGATATATATATATATATATATATATATATATATATAGTTGAACCAAAGCACAACGTAGTGGCCTGAAGATTGCATTTAAGCATGAATCAGACAGTCGCTACTAGGCGTTGACCTGAATGTTCACTTTTATATTTATATACGCTCTATCCATGAAAGTGAGCTCTTTAACCCAGAGGTCCCGGTCCGTGACCGGTCTGTGGATCATTTAATACCGGACCGTAAAGAAATAATTAAGCTGTTTAAACTTATATAATAGATAAATTGATTATTGGACTTTAAATTAAAAAGATTTGTTTAAATATTCAATATTCGTCTACTCAATACTATCTATCATAAATTTAGGTTCCTTTTTATAATTAATGTAGATTTTACGTCTAACTTTACTGTAAGTACATTTTACAATTAATAGATATTTTTATTTATTTGTAATAATTATCAACTAATTTTCTAATCCCAACTAATTTTCTGATTCTACATTGATTCTAAATTATGGTGATTTCGTTTCGTTTTCTTTGATTTGGTTTACGGTATATCAACTTTTATACTCAATAGAGTTGAGGGCTTTGCCGTGATTAACAAATCGAATGTGACCTACGCTAAATTCAAATTCACCGGGAAAAAAATTAATATAGGTCATGACACGAAGTTGTCTGCATATAAATCCTAGACAGTTTCCTTGTGGGCAGATACAGCTTGTTACATTGTTTCGTAAGATGTATCGGAATCAGACGCTAATTTTTTTTTTTTAAAGCAATTCGTCCCAAGCAAGCCAGGGGTGCCCCTAGCATGCAAGGGGTTACAGAGAGTGCGAGCAAGACTAAAAAGGAGTGTTTGGGAAAAGGATAAAGAGAAATACAGGGATCAAGATCAAGGAATCAGAAGATGTCGATTGACATTACATTTGAATATTTGAAATGATGCCAACCTAGTAGCGCGCTTAAATTCATATAATTTGGGAACCAGTGAAAGTAGCACGTCGGAGCAATTGCCATGAAAGTATTTGTAGAAAAGGCAGAGGAAAGCCACAGAACGTCTGTGAGATAGTGACTGCAAACGAGATGCCAGATCAGGACCAACCAGGTTGCATATCCGTCTCTGGATTTTGTCTAGGACCTCGAGATGAACGGCGGAAACACCAGACCATATATGGAAGCAGTATTCCATAGAAAAATACTATAGGTCATGACACGAAGATGTCTACTTACAAAACCGAGACAATTTCCTTATGGACAAGTACAAATTGTTACACTATTTCGAAGATGTACCGCAACCTGACGCTCAAACTTGCCAAGGAACAAAAGCGAAAGAGATGAGATAATTTGAAATAACGCTTGCCAGTTATATACCCATTCAGCTGCTGACATAAAAGTTTGTATTTGATAAATAAAAGTTCCCTTTAAGAAACTGGTAAACAACTTTTTGAGCGTCAGATTTCGATTCTTTATTTTACCGAAGAAAGTCCAGTAGCCCACTACATGAATAGACATATTAATCAACACTGCATGCTAAGTATCGGATTAATGCTTCTGGTGATTTTAAGACTAAATTCGGTCTCTTCTCATTGGTCAGAAGGTAAATAAGAATAATCGAAGCAGAAAAAACATGTATTTCCCTGTTCTTTTTGTTTAGAGCTAATGCTTTAGGAAATTTACAGACCTCACTACGTTTAGATTCGGTTTAAGGTCAACACACACACATACACACACCTTGTATATTTAGGCTGCAATCCTTATTTTGTACAGGTTTTACTGAAGATGGGCAACAATAAATAGATGGTAATTATTTTTATTAAGTTTTTCGTACGGTCTCATACATGACAACATACTGGGGACTGTCTGTTTCGCATCCGATTAAGATCAGTCTGATGTTAAGATAAAGGCAGGGTCATTAATATGCGAATCATATCCCAATGATATGGCCTCTGTCATACGAGTGTATTGTGTGTAGGTACACACACACGCACACACACACACACACACACACACACACACACACACACACATATATATATATATATATATTAGATATTGCTAAATGATCGCATATATATATAGATATTTGTAGAAAATGCATAAATTTCTATTTTCAGTATTGCCAGTTACACGCATACACACCCACCCATACGCACACACACTCATACGACCTCTCTTTATATTTATTAATAATAATCCAGTATTATTTAATGAAACATACAAACAGGAAAGTTTGCTGCTAAAATTCACATATCAAACGAACACGCATACACACCTACATATATATATATATATATATATATATATATATATATATATATATATAGTGAACATAGAAGTCAACACTTAGAGGCGACAGTCTGTTTCATGCTATATGCAATAATTGCATATAGCATGAAACAGACTGTCGCCTCTAAGTGTTGACTTTATGTTCACTTTTTATATTTACACACGCTCTATCTCTGATATCGAGCACTTTATCCCATAAATATACTTTTTTAAGACTATATTTCTTCATATATATATATATATATATATATATATATGAGTTTTTTCATTTACTAACATTTTTTAAAGACAATTATTCCCAAGCAAGGCGGGAGTGCCAATAGCACGCAAGGGGTTACAGAGGATTGGGAACAAGATTAAAGAGGCGTGTTTGAGGAAAGGATACAGAGAAGGACGGGGAAGAAGCTCAGGGTGTCAGATGTCGATTGACATTACACTTGAATATTTGACAGGCATCGGGGATGCAAATAAGGGAAAGGGAGTTCCACAGACGGGAAGTGTGGGAGAAGAAGCTGTTTCAGTAGAAGAGACCGCTATATTTAACCGTTTTGTCAGTGTAATGGTGGGACCGAGATACCAGCCTGGTAGCTCGCTTAAAGTCATGCAGTCCGGGAACCAGCGAAAGTAGCTCGTCGGAACAGACACTTGCCTTGAAAAAAATATTCAAGCGTCTTTGATTGAATAATCTAGATATGTTATGTCTCTTTATTTTTATTTTAATCTCAAATTCACGCATTAGTTTCTTAGCAAATTTTCTGAATTTAAAAAAAAAATAATTCCCCCAAACAAGGCGGGAGTGCCACTAGCACGCAAAGGGTTACAGAGTATTGAGAACAAGAGTAAAAAGGCGTGTTTGAGGAAAGGATACAGAGAAGGACGGGAAGGAAGCTCAGGGTGTCAGATGTCGATTGACATTACACTTGAATACTTAAAGATTATAGTCATCGGGGATGCAACTAAGGGGTGTTACAGTTTTTTGGGTATATACTGTACATAACTAGTGAGCGAGTCAAAATGACTTACTTCCCTTTATAGTCGACCAATAGAAGGTTGACCAATCAGAAGCCGCACAACACTGTATCCGTCGTGTATAAAGGCGGCCATCTTTGTTTTCTTACTGGAATGACCAGAGACAACTTGTCCGGCGAACAGGACAGACGGAAGAACTACGCTCTGCTACCTTGCTGCGATATCCACTGCGAACCTGCACTACGCTTTCCTACTGTCTCCGAAATATTCACTGCCAACCTCTGGATTCTATACTCGAAGACGACCGTCATGAAAATGTCTAACAAGGGGAAGGTAGTTCCACAGAAGGGAAGGGCGAGAGAAGAAGCTGTTTGAGAAGAGACGGTTACATGAAACCGTTTTGACAGTGAAAGGGCTGGATCGAGATGCCAGCCTGGTAGCTCGCTTAAATTCATGTAGTCCGAGAACCAGCGAAAGTAGCGAACTAACACTCCTAGCAGTAGACCTATCAATTGATTCAGTATAATCTTTCCAATTCATGTCGGCAGAGAATGTTAACGCGTGAAGGCGCATCGAGTTACTCTCCTGGAGGTTAGC